CTAGTGACTTGCTTTCCTTCTCACCCAGCTTTATTTCTGTAGGATATATCTTTCTATTATTTAGTCCAATTTTTTTATGTTTCAAAACACACAAATTCAGCATGGAAAAGAATTAGTGTAAAAAGTGTAAATGAATTATTAATAAAAGAAGCAGCACACACATTCAAATAGACTTGGTAGTATTTAATCTGGAAGGGCTTAATTGGAAGTTCTCTTATCAGCCTAATGATAATGAACTATAATGACCTTGATTTAACAGAGACAGGGACACTATCTATCTTTCTTAATGAAAAGATGAGAAGCAAGGTCAAGTGTTTTAACCAGGTATTACATAAATGAAATACATGTGTAATGTACAGATCTTAGAAAATTCATAAGGTTTGAAGAAGAAAATAGTTGTAAAACCTATTAGTCTTTTTACTAAGCTCTTTTTTAGAATTGGATTGCTATTGTAGGTTCAACTTTAGAATACCCTGATTTTCATATATATAACATGATATAATGAGCATTTTCGGGTCCTTAAAACATTATGAAAATTCTAGTTAGGCTGAATTCATCCAATGCATGGACGTGTTCTAATTTATATAGAATTATGAATTCAGGGTTTTTTCCTAATACAAATAAATCTGTGGTGAATATTCTTATAAATAAATCTATATATACATTTCTGTACACTACATTTTTAGAAACAATGTAAATATTTTGAAACATACTGAAACACTACATACAGAAGATCCTTAACAAAATGTACTCCCTCAGGTAGTGAATGAAAATGTGCTTTTACTCTACTCTCAGCAAACTGTTTTTAAAAATCATTAAGTACATAACAGGGAAAAAATTTAATTTGCATTTCTTTGTGAGGCTGAGTAGTTTTCATGTTTATTGGTTATTTGTATTCCTTTTTAAGGGAGGAATAAGTTCCCCTTGTTGCCCATTTTCCTACTGAGACTTAATTTTAGTGTTACACTAGTTGATCTATATAACTCATTAGAATATTAATTCCTTGCCATATTTTATTATACAGTTTACTGATAATTTGTCTATCTTTTAATTTTATTTCTGATTTATGGGATTCAGACCAAAAAGCAATGTTCTGCCAGGTTGTTTATTTTTTCCTTCCATTGCTTTTTGTTCAAAAGATCCCTTCAATTGCTGACATAAATAAATATGTAATTTTATTTACTGTTTTCCTCAAGACTTTATTAATTACATCAACTCTTGAATTCATTAAAAACAACTTTTCATATAAAGAAGGAAAGTAAAAATCCAAATTTGATTTGTTTTACCTGATAGCCAACCAAATTTACTGAGCCAGCAGCCTCTCATTTTCCCTCTGATTTATGGATCTCTCCTTACTCTACACTAAGTTCCAGAACATACCTGGTTCTGTTTTTGCCAGTCTGTCAGCCAATGATCTAGGACTTTGTAGTATATTTTAAATTCAGCAAGACCAAGTTTGCCTATTTATTTTTCTTTAAAATCCCCTCTGTCAAGCTATTTTTAGAATCTTGGTATTGTTCTTAAATTTTCATTAAGCTTGCTCTATAATTTCTAAATACTAAAAATGGCTTTCTAAAGATACACTAAAGAGTAAGAAAATAACAAAGAGAAAAATATGAAACCTCCCTCATCTCAACATTCATGCTGTTAACGTTTTTTTTTAAGATTCTGTTTATTTATTTATTTATTTGAGAGAGAGAGAATGAGAGAGAGAGAGAGCACATGAGAGGGGGAAAGGTCAGAGGAAGAAGCAGACTCCCTGCTGAGCAGGGAGCCTGATGCGGGACTCGATCCCGGGACTCCAGGATCATGACCTGAGCTGAAGGCAGTCGCTTAACCGACTGAGCCACCCAGGCACTCCACTGTTAACATTTTTGAGCATACACTTTCAGGATCTCTATCAGAGATGATCTAGGTAGGTTTGCGTCTATTCTTCTCAGGCAAGTAAACAGAAAAGTGTTAGAGCATGATCAATCATTCTCAAAATAGAAAAAATTTTTTGATTCATAGGATCACAATCATAGGATTTATCATAGGATTGCAATTTACTTTTAAAATACTAAAAAGTGTAATCTTGATTTCTCTTAGATCTGAATGTCACAAGTAAAGCATTTAGTGAGCTAGATTGACAGAGACCCCTACATATTGCTGGTCTAATATACTAAATTGTGTTTTTTATTTAACTTGAAACACGGCCCAGTCAGTAATTTATCACAAAGATACCCCTGATAGCATGCCAGTCTCGTGAAAATACTTTCCCTTGTTTTCCTTACTTCCTGACAACAAACTACTTCACTTACCCCAAGTGCATTACAAAGAACAGCGCTATTTAATTCCTAAATTCATTTCTGGATGTATTTATTCAACAATATCTTTGTGATCGGAGGTGTTCAATAAACATTTGCCAAATGGAGAAGAATGAATGAAACATACGACTTAAATAGAGTGCTATACAAAATAGCTCATTATTAATAAACTACATGGGAATTCTTAGAAGTGGCTGATGCAGGAACAAATGTAAGCTTTTTATTCACAGCAAAGCGCAGGAGATGAATATGGGCACACGCGATGTGTGATTTATTCATACACTCTAGTAGGAGATTTATAGGCATCTATTAACCTACTCAAGTTCCAATTCTGTCTTAGGCTGGTTTTTTGTCATGATTAGCTATGTTGTGACTCGATGTTAAATAACAGGTTGTCTGTGCTGAAATATACAAGAAATATGAAGACAGAAGGTCAAAATTATATATATATATATAGTTCCAGCTAAATCATAGATGTATCTCTGTTTGTGTATGCAAAAAAATTAGACATGCATATATGCACAAAAGCAAAAGATATATTTTCCAGACCTGAGATCCATTATCATAGACTGGATTTGTCTCCCAAATAATTAATATGTTGAAGTCCTAACCTCCAGTAACTCAGAATGGGACCATATTTAGAGAAAGGGTCTTTACAGCGATAAGTTAAAATAGAGTCATTAGAGTGGCTACTAATCCAGTATGACTGGTGTCTTTATAAGAAGAGGAAATTTGAATACAGACACATACAGAGGGAAGAAAATGAGAAGACACAAGGGAGAAGATGGCCGTCTATAAGCCAAGGAGAGAGACCTGAAGGAAACAACTCTGCCAACACCTGGAGTACAGATTTCTAGCTCGCAGAACTGTGATAAAATACATTCCTCTTGTTTAAACCACTCAATCTGTGGAACTTTGTTACAGCAGCCCTAGCAAACTAATACACCATGAACTAATCCAGAATATAGTGAGGCTGTATGTTGAAAAAGAGTAAGAATTATTTTTGTTATTTTCAACATTCTCAGTTTTCAAAAAGATTAATCATACCCACCTGGGTACTGTGGTGGGGCCTGATCTCATCCTTCCTTTGGGTAAAACATCATCCCAAAAGTCACTGCTTTAGGTGAGACTTCTAATTAATCGCTCCACCAATCGATTAGGAATTCAGACTTAGTTAACTGCATTGCCCACTTCCACATGGCGATCTCTTTAACGTATGCTTGAGTATCTATGAGAGCTTGGATACAATTCATGCTTTGAATGGGTAGATCACTCTTGGCTTTTGCCTTGAGGTCTTAAAGTCACTTGTGTGCTTTCTACCTCTGTCTACACTGACCTAATAAATATAACACAAGAAGAGGGATGTGGGGAGAAGCATTCCCACTCCCCTTCATCCCCAACCCAATTTCACAGAGGACAGAAGTAGGGTGTAAATTTTGTAGGTGGGGTAAGTGTAATGTCACTCCCCAAGTCACATGGAAGCCATGTTCTCAAGAGTGAGGAAAGGTCCCAGTTCTGTTTATCCTGACAGAAGACAGGGTAACTCTTAGAGAGATCTTCCACTGTCACTCATCGGCTCCTTCAAACCTGCGCCACCCACTGGGACAACTCATCTTCCTCGTGCACTGAAGCTGGCCCTTAGAGCCAGGCAGGATTTGCCAACATGTTCCAAGCTCCTAACTAAAAGGTGCATTTCTCTGTGCCGTCTTAATAAAACAACACAGAATGAAGTTTTATAATAGCAATATATAGAGGAAAAAATCATAATTTCCATGCTTCATGATTCAGAATAATTAATTTAGTAAGTGTGTCATATGAGAAGAGTAAATAAAGAGAAGGAAAGGGGTGTGGATATATATGATCACTGAAGCATATACAATTGCAAGAAAAAACAAATTACCAGGGGTAGTGCTGGAAATAAAAGCTCAGTGGGAAATATTTTTTGGATGCTAATTTGATTCTTCTATGGAACCTTAAAGCTGCAGTGCCTACAAGTGCACTATTTATCTCAATTTGTTTTTATTTTTAGCACTTCTATAACCTTAAGTCTCTAAAAACCAATTAAACACATTCTGATCTCTACTGGGAATTTTCCCTAAGTAGTTCTCTACCTAGACTGTAATAGGACTATGATTTCATTTACAACATCTTGCTGGAGAGTGTTTCATCAAGAGAGGTGTTAAAAAAATAATGAAATTAATAAACGAGGGCAGAATCAAGATGAGCTCCAGTCTTCTCTGGACACAGTTACAGTCTGGGGTTTGGTTCACAATCAACACTGAGCCGACAATCCTTGGATGAGCAGTTTGCTTTGCCATGCCACATTCTGTAATTTTGCAAGAAGGTATTATTTCTGAGTACAGGCCAATGTGCCTAAGTCCTGAACCAAAAAATGCAGCCTTCTAAAGTGAGTAAATAATTATTTCTATTAAACTGGTAGATATAAAAGTAAACCCTTCTTTGCTTAGTCAGGTAAAATTCAGATCTTGTCTATTTTAATTCAGTTTTACCTTCTCAAATACTAAAAATACCAGCCTTGCCCCTTCCCGTCTTAAGACTCCTGATTCTGCCGTTCCAACAGCTGGACTAAATGCATCCCACGGAACACCGCAGAGCTCAAACACCGCCCCCGCCTCGCCCCACTGCCAGGCCTCTCTGAGGGCCTGCCCCCAGTACCGGCCACCAGTGGCTTACCGACAGTGTTTATGGGAGCCCGTCAGGGTTTCGATCACAAAGCACTCGCCATCATTGAGACAGTATGTGAGGTCCTTGTCTCTGCAGGGTTTGAAGTGCTCAGATCGCTCAGTGGAATAGGTCGTTGTATCTGTCAGGGGAAAACACACAGAGAACTGCTGTCAGCAGCACGTTCTGCGACCACCCGGCCCCATACCGGCCCGGGATCTGTGCGCTGAGGACTTCTCCTGGGCTCTGACCCTCCGCCTCCAGAGAGACAGCACAGACCCTCCACTGGACTGAAGAAATGCACCTGGATATGACCACACTTTATGACTGAACGTTGTGTGCCCCCCAAAATTCACATGTTCAAACCTAATCACAATGAGATGTGGTATCAGCAGGTGCGTCTGTGGGAGGGGATTAGATCATGAATCGGATTAGTACCCTTATAAAAAGGGCCCCAGAAAGCTCCGTGGCCCATTGCAGTCATGTGAAGGTAGCGAGAAGATGGTGCTCCATGAGCCAGGAAGTCCTCGCTGCTCCCCAGACACTGAATCTTCAGGCACCTTGATCTTGGACTTCCCAGCTTCTAAAACTGTGAGAAATAAATTTCTGTGGTTTATGAGCCATCCAATCTGTTATAGCAGCCCCGACTAAGGCAAACACTGTATTCAGTCGTCTTATTTCTCCACTAGATTTTAGCAATTGGAATCACTCTATAAGCCCCCTTAGAGGACACATTAAAAGTAAAAGCTGAATGATTCTGCAGTCAAACACCTCAAACCCGCTTTTGTTAATTTCAGTTTTTAACAAACACATTGTATGAAAGATTGAAACAGGATCTCCTTCCCTTTATTGTTGCCAAATGTCATTAAACATCTGATCACTGCATATTGTGACTGTTCTGTGGAAACCAATGTCAGTTTCTATGAGTTTTTTGTTTGTTTTTTGTTTTTAGTTACAGCTCTAATCGGCTAATAGCTGAACAAATTATTCTTCCACTTTTTCCTTTTCTTATGTAATTAAAATGCAAATGTTCCAAATTCTGAAACAGAATCTGAAATGTGAAGAATGTTTCTGGTAAATACCTAACAGAACCAAATTACTGTCATTTTTAAGCATTATTTTAAACATTTGTTTTTAAAATCATAATTACTTACATTTTTTAAATTAAGCTGTATGTCTACATCCTTTTCCTAAATATGAAACTAGCCATAAGTATGTGCTATCTACTAGACACAGACTCTGTTATCACATGTAGACATTCTGGTTTCACAGTTTTAAGCAACTAAAGTATTAGAACCAATTCCACTGCCATATTGGAGAAAAAAATATATTTAAAAAGTCAAAGATGGGGGCATTTGGGTGGCACAGTCATTTAAGTGTCCAACTCTTGATTTTGGCTCAGGTCATGATCTCAGGGGTTGTGAGATCGAGCCCAGAGTCCAGCTCTGTGCTCAGCGGGGAGTCTGCTTGAGATGCTCTCTCTCCTCTCCCTCTACCCTACCCACCCCCCCTTGCTCATGCTCTTTCTCTCTCTCTCTCAAATAAACAAATCTTTAAAATATAAAATAAAAAGTCAAAGCTGAATAAATGATTCTGCATTTAAACTCTTTTAATTTCCTTTACTTAGATCTAGATTAAATAATAATGTTCAATAGCATGGGTTACTGTAACTAACGAGCTTAGTAACTGGAAGCCACTATGAGCCTCTTCCTGTTCATCATCCAAATTGTGGAGAAAGTGATTGCCCTAAAAGGAAATTCACTCATACCCTTCCCACACCTAAAAATCCTCAGCGGGCCCCATCCCCATAGGAAAAACTCCAAATTCCTCAGAGAAGGACTGAGACCACGTAGAATTTTGCCCTCCGGGGTCATCTTGTACCCTAAGACACACAACTCAATTTCCAATTATTTTTCTATTTCTTCAAACACAAGGAGCTGTCACACTGCTCCTTCTTCCTGGATCACCTTTTTCTTTGCTGGAAGACATCCAGAAATCCTTCAAAGCTTACATCATCCATCTTCCCATTGTGTCTCCCTAGCACCTTTGATCACTCACATCACTGCATTCAACATTCAACGCTGCATGTAGCCATTTGTTCACACGTTTCTCTGTTTCTTTAGTCTGTATGTTTCTTAAGGTCAGAGGTGGAGCCTTGATTCACAATTGGTGTTCAGTAAAAAATGCCTTCAATAAATCTGGATCACTCTAACACTGCTAAGAGTTTAAATGCCATTGGTAAACGATATGATCATGAAAGACATCATTACAATCATATAAAAGTGAATGCGTATCTTACAACAAGTTAGATATAATTTCACATCAATCTTATCATTTTAGTATACCTACTTTAATATTGAGGAATATTGGAAAAACAAACACTGCTCTCAGAGTCACAGAAATCTTCACTCACATACTGCTCATATAATGTGGGCATTGAAAAAGCCCACTTCTAATACCTTCTTTTTTTGGTAGTACAACAGGAACTTATTTTTCCACTTTAAAATATCTGTCTGTTAATATTTTGGCATGAAATAAAGGCTCTGCAAAACAGAAACATTTTCTGTTTTCCAGGAGATCTCCTCTACAGAGAAGATCTGTTATTCAAGACAGCTTGCAAAAAATAGTTACACAGAATCAATCTCTCTTTCTATGGGAAATATTTAAAATTCAAGAGCTCTGAGCAAAATATTCAATACGAAACACCACACAGTTGATTGCTATGCTGACTGAAGTATATTAACTCATGATCAGTTAGTTAAGTTTTCCTTTAATTTCTTATTATCCATTTATTGATATTCACTGATCATTCCTCTAAGAACAGCTTTTCATTAACATAACCTACAGCATAAAAAGTGAGATCCTTATTTTATAATCAGTGGTTTTAACAAGCTACAGACTCCAAGAGCAATACAATGGCAAAGCAATTACAATCAATTAGTTTCCATCTGACAAGTGCTGTCTCCAGTGGTTACCTCCCCATTCTACCAACTGCCTTCCCTATCATGTTATCATGTATCAGCACATTACAGAGGATCAGAGACCCAAGTAAATGCCTCTGCAAAAGTCCAAGGTGAGAGAGTACAGAGATGTCAGGCTTAACATGTACTCGGGTTTTCTATTTCCATAGCTTAGAGAATCCAGAACTTAATATAAATGCACATGCTTATCCCTTGCAATGACTTGACTGGATTCAAAGAAACACCACTGCTAAATATTTTTAATATTTTAATACAATAAACAGTAACAATGCTACGCTTGATCCTTCTATCAGTATACTGCAATCATCAGTAAATTTGAAAGCTTAGACATTACCTAAACATTTCACTATATAGTGTCCATATATCACTACTCACCTAAAATCACACAGGCATTGGGCAAGGTAAATAAAATTCACCACGGGGTAAAATTTTACACTTGTAGGGCATCATGCCAAATATGTCAATGGAAAGATAGAAAAATTTCTTAATGGAATCACTAGGCTGTTATACTCTAAGACCACCTACCCACTTTTGTAAAGTAGTAAATAAAGTAAATAAGTAAACTGTACCTAGTCACTGTTAGGCTTTCTATCACTCATAACCAAACACAGCCCATCAAAGAGACAACAATAATTTTGGATGATACCCTCCAATGTTTGTATATCTACTTATAAGGGCACGTATGTATATATTTGGTTAATTATCTTACATATAAAATATATTAAAAACATCTAAAATAGAACATAAATGCAAATGAGATAACAATAAAGTATGAGGTATACTTCTGTATTTTCTTTCTGTGCCCTAAGGTGACACAGTGTGCTTTAAAATATCCAGGTGAGTATTTTGTTCTAAAGAGGAAATAGGGAACATTTGGGAGAATGACATAATGCATGTGATCTAACTCCAAACTTCCATGACCCTAATAACCTTGGGACACCTTAACAATCAGGTATGGAACTCTCATCTGTAAAATTACCCAGCATTTTTGAAACCTGTTTATATATTTTAAACTGGTTCACTTTTACGATAATCTAATACACTAAACTGGCTATAATATATGCTACTATTTTGTTATGTATTTAAAATTCAAAGGGCATCTTCTGTTTCTAGGAATGTAACTTGATAAATTTGTTATAGAGGTTTTGATTGTCTTCAAAAAAAATCACAAGGATGAATGTCCAGGCAAGTAAACTAGGAGAAGCCTACTATTCCCATGAATTCCCATTTGTTTTTCAAGGTTCACTCTTATTCCAGAGTAACTCCTTCTCAGACATCATTCACTCCCCTGCATCAGCCCAGAAATCTCCCATCTGACCAGGCCATGAGCTCCTGAGGGGCAGAGTATGTCTTCAAATCTCTCTGATCCAAGATCTTATGGACAGCCTGACACAGAGGTGAACACAACAGGTGTTTATAGAAGAATGATCTTTTTATACACGAGCAATTTCCTAAATGTTCTATACTGAAGACTGTGCATGCTTTTCATAAAAGAAAAACCCCGTATGAATAAATGTTTAGAAGTTAGGACTCAAGAAGAGCTTCCGAAGCAATTTAGGTTAAGTGTATAGAAATTGATGAGAGGAGGGAAAAAAACAACTCCATAGGCAGAGGGGGCGGGAGGAAAGAAAAAATTAGGGATGGTATTCTCAAAGAGAGGACAAAGGAATGTTCAGCTTAAGATGAACAGAGATGGTGCTAAGGATGGGCCTTCCAAGCACCATGATCAAAGTTCAAGGTCTCAGGCCAAGCAAGTGTAGTTGCTGGCAGGAGGAACTAGTACCCATTCACCTGAGACCGCAGGGGCTGTACAATTATCCAGACCATTCATCTGGCACTTGTTATATGTAGTTTATTTATTTTTTTAAAAGATTTTATTTATTCATTCATGAGAGACAGAGAGAGAGAGAGAGAGAAGCAGAGGGAGAAGCAGGCTCCCAAGGAGCAGGGAGCCCGATGCAGGACTCGATCCCAGGACCCTGGGATCATGACCCGAGCCGAAGGCAGACGCTTAACCATCTGAGCCACCCAGGTGCCCCGTTATATGTAGTTTAATGTGTTTTCTTACATTTTTCTGAGTTTTGGTCTCTACCCCCAGGGAGGTCAGGGAGAGTGCTCTGCTTTTAAGTTTTGTATTCTTTCCACACCATGTAGCAAACAT